GAAACGACTACAGACTCATAAGTCTCATGTACCATCCCCTGAAAATAATCTACAATTAGATAATTCGCAGCTTGGCTTCCGAGGAGGCATGGAAATCAGAGAAGCCTTATTCGCAATGACAGTTCTCCTCCAAAAAAATCAACATTCAACTTGATGAACAAGATATAGCGCTCTTCAAAAAGACACTGTAAACAGTAAGGTGTTATGCAGAGCTGTGCACTTTCGCCTACACTCTTCAATTTAATTGCGCAAATAATATTTCATATTTCATCGGGCCCTTTGGGAAAGAGAAGAAGGCATTAAGATAGGAGGTGAGATAATTAATAATATACGCTTCGGTTCACTGGTGAACAGGGTCAGGTGATGAAACTTGGACGCTCAAGGTTCAGACCATCAAGAAACTAGTCTTTTGAAATGCGGCTGTATCGCAGAACCTTAAAAATACCCTGGACTGCTAGAATTACTAATGCGGAACTGTTAAGAAGAATAGGACAAGAAAGGAAATTAATGATTACGATCAAACGAAGAAAAACAGCCAATAAATAATAAGTACTACAGATAGAAGAAAAGGAATAGGAAGAAAGGAGAAATCCTACCCAAGAAGCACCAGGGACTGGACTCAGATGAGTGTAGAGAGCTGTTTCGCGTTGCAAGAGACAAAGACGTATTCAGAAAAGTGATCGCCAACCTCCGTTAGCCAATGACACTGCAAGAAGAAGAATTTCTTTTCTTTTTCAGGTGCCTATTCCTTTCAAATATTAGCCATCATTCTGGCTATAATGACCATGTTCACGGCTGCCCTGAACAATTCAATGGTTGTTTTGAAAAACCATGTTCTTCAATCCTTCAACCATGATATTCTTCGTCTTCCAGGTCCTCTCTTCCCGTGAACTTTTCCTTGGAGTATTTCTTTGAGAAAGCGGCATTTGCTGTCTTTTCGCATTACATGGCCTAGGTACTCAAGTTTTCTTCTCTTTATAGTGCTTACCACTTCCTTTTCCTTGTTCATTCTGTCCAACACTGAATGCTTCGGTACAGGCACATTTCAAATGCTTCCAGTGTTCTTTGAGTTGCCTCGGTCAGTGTCCACAACTCCACCCCGTAGAGGAGTGTCGAGAAAACGTAGCATCTTAAGAGTCTGATATGGCTTTTAAAAAGCTTTGAGATTTTGATAAAGGCACTTAATCTCTTGAGAGTGATCCCATTGTTCATTAATTGTCGTTCCCAGATAAGTGAACTTAGGAACCCGTTCCACTGATCCCTCTCTAATGAACAGTTGACAGTTTTTGACATTTTGTTTTGTTATTATCATGCACTTGGTCGTTTATCCTGTTCATTAACTCTTGCAAGCCACTCAAACCATTCAGGCGAAGAGGTTAAATAGGAGTAAACCTTTAAAAAATGTTTATGTTAAGTGCTTTTCAAAGTTTCAGTTATCTACGACCCGTTTAGAGGACAATACGAATATTTCTTTTTCTTTTATTATTTGTAGATTTTCACCTCCATAAATACATAAATTACATCACCAATCGACCCATTTTAAACGAATTTTTGATTCTATTTATGCAAATTGGACGTTCGATTTGAAAATTCAAACTCCGTTTGGCGAGCATTATTTATTTTTTATTGCGATATTTTTTTGGGCACGTAATTCGGTTTTCGGTGCTTCGAAATAAATTGAAAATTTCATGCAAATGCAATGAAACAATTTAAAGCTCGGCGACGGATGAAAAACCAGTTTTTTTTTATTTACGAGGATTCGGTTTAAAATTAAGCATTAAAAATAATCAATGTAAAACGAAATATTCGCCTCTATTAATTCTAATTTATTGCCGTTTCTAGTGCGTAATTTACCGTGCGCGCCACTGATATCCGCGAATAAAGGGGGCCGAAGTAGGATACGAGTTTGCCGGAGGCGACCTTTGACGTACGTTTTGCTCCATCGGCCCCAACTATGTGACAAATTCGTGCAGTAGAGATTTGCGTGTTGAATTAAGTTTCCCGGTCGTCCCTCCAGGAAAGGAGGGAGGGGGCTCGAGAAGGTTTCAAGAACTTGATGGGGGACACTTTCTGCTGATAAAAGCACGAAACTAGCGATTTTTTTAAAATTTTGACATTTTTTCAAATATAAATGTTTTGTTCCACAGTGCAACCAAATAATATATATGGTAATTTGTTTTTTTTTAGTAGTATTTATATATTAAAAATAGCAAATTAGTGTTAATCTTCAATAAAAGCTCATAAGTCAATGTTAATCTTCAAAAAATGCCCTGTGAATATTTATACGGTAATGGAATAATAACTAAACCTTAATAATTCCCCGTAAGCAATCAATAAATTTCTATAAATCATAATTAAATTTTAAATAAAGAGGCGTAAATCTTCAATGAAATTTCAAAACACTGTTATCTTTAAAAAATGTCAATACTTCTCATTAAATCACAATAATTCCTATGAGCTGAGCACTTTTCGCACATCTATTGTGAGGCGTATTGGAAAAATAAATGAAACTTTATAAATCCGTATTAATAATCAATAATTTTATATAAATGCTTCCTACACCAT